AACATGTAAGAAGTAGAAAGTACAGGTATTTGAGTTCAACATGTAAGAAGTAGAAAGTACAGGTATTAGTGTTCAACATGTAAGAAGTAGAAAGTACAGGTATTTGTGTTCAACATGTAAGAAGTAGAAAGTACAGGTATTTGTGTTCAACATGTAAGAAGTAGAAAGTACAGGTATTTGAGTTCAACATGTAAGAAGTAGAAAGTACAGGTATTTGTGTTCAACATGTAAGAAGTAGAAAGTACAGGTATTTGGGTTCAACATGTAAGAAGTCAAAGTAAAAAGGCTTCAGAAAAATAAGTAGTGGAGTAAAGTACTGATGCCAGACAAATGTACTTAAGTACAGTAACAAAGTATTTGTACTCCACTACATCCCATGATATGTTATAAAACACAGAGAGTCTGATCTTATGGCATTCATTTCTAATAAACTAAATGGACTTGTCACCACACACACACACACACACACACACACACACACACACACACACACACACACACACACACACACACACACACACACACACACACACACACACACACACACACACACACACACACACACACACACACACACACACACACACACACACACACACACACACACACACACACACACACACACACACACACACACACACACACACACACTCACACACACACACACACACACACACACACACACACACACACACACACACACACACACACACACACACCTGAAGTCAGAGTAGTCCTCTCCTGAAGCTCTTGGCCTACTGACCTCCATGATACTGACACCAGAGAGAAGGGATTTGGGGGAGGGGAAATGTTCTGCACACCACCCTGTACAGTGAGATCAGCCTGGAGGGTCAGTGGAGGTCTCTTTAATGGGCCACAGAGGCGAGAGGAAAACCCCATTTAATTGAACCATCAATTAATATGTTGATCGATGATTTGGTCTATAAAAAGGTTAGGAAAAAAACACACACACAAAAAGGGGAGCCTGATGTCATACGACCTAAATGAAGGTCTTTAGATTGCATTTTTTTCATTTCAAATGTTCCCAGGATACTACCACTTTCTAAGGTTTAGTTATTTAGTTGTTTTTACAAATTTGGTATTGTTCGTTTGAGTTTTAATGTATGTTAACATGAATAAGGAACATAGTGTTTTTTTGCTCATAGTGTTTGACCAACACATCGACAGTTGTTTCTGAGTTGTAGACGTTTCTTTCCGATTACTTTGACACCACATGAATGCAGCACATGTGCCCTTTAGGGTTTAGGGTTAGGGTTAGTGCTGTTTTCTGATCAAACGTTGTGTTCAATGCCGTTAAAACGCATAAAGCGCTGCTGAAGGTTAATCCAATGTTTCTGTGTCATCATATTTATGGCAATAAGCCTAGTTTTCAGTTTTCACAGCGTAACATAGCTTTCGGTTTGGGCAAGCTCCTCATGGATGTATGTTTCTGAGTTGTAGACGTTTCTTTCTGATTATTTGACACCACATGAATGCAGCACATGTGCCCTGCTGTTACCCAATGTTAATGCAAGTAAAACAAAATGTGTGTATACACCCTCGATCTGCTCTAAAATCTACAGTGTTCTTCCTCAGCCTATGATATAATCTCCCACCAAGTTTCTAGAAAATTGTGTCAGCAGTTTGTCCTGAATCCTGCTGACTGACAAACCAAATTGGTAGAGATAATTATACAATAATTAAAAAGGCAAGAATTTACAAAGCATGACATTTTTCAGAAGCGTAAACTAGCAATTACTTGTGTGATTGCTTCTTTGATAAATGACTTAAATGATGACAAATTGTCAGCGTATTTCTGATTGAACAAAGTAATGTAATTAGCAGCTTTCAACACTAACCCCCTCCACTGAAGGTAATATTTGCAGATAGATAGATAGACACATACAGACCAATAGATGACAGTTATTACCGGTTTATGTAAATGCTGGGATAAAGTACAAGGCAAGCAGGCGTTCATTTCCAAAGGCTTTCTGGGCTCGTTATCATGATAGAGATGCTAAGTAGTTCTGTCATTTGTGCGTCAGACCTTTACTGACCCGTGACCAGGTTTCATCAAACAGCTGACAGACCACTAAATGAAAGCTGACCTGTGAATATTGTACGTTTGATCCTTCATAATGATTCATCCAGAATAGATGACCAGGTGAAATGTAGTGTCGCCATACAACAGTGTGCTGATGAAACACGTCATATCAATTTATAAAATGAACACATCTCTCTCAAGTCTTCATTATAGTGAGAATAAGCTAAGCACTTTCTGTCTATAACACCATAAAAACACATTTCATGTGAATCACTCGCCTGAAAACTGAACAAGCAGTGGGACTAAAGGCCCGGACGCACCAAGCTGACATCAAAGAACTGACACAGACGGACCCCGACTGTTGCGTCGCCTCGCGTCTCTGCGTCTTGGCCATGCGTCGCACTGGAACACACCACAAAGACTTCAGCCGACGGCCAAGAAGCACGTACGAACTGCGTGAGTGGAGATACCTCTCCTTACCAGCAGGCGGCTGTGTGTATTCGTCATTCAAAAGAGGCAACAACCGGAAGACAGACTGCGTGATGATGAGAGAAGAAGAACAGACTGCGTGATATAAACAAACAACACATAGCGTCCGTTCCGTTGTCACTCTACAGCGAGAAGCTCACGGGGCTTTCCCGAACCTGAGTCGAGAGCTGGAGTCAAATGAACTCTCAGATTTGCCTACTTAATAGTGTGTTTGGGTCCCTCACTTCCGTTTTGCTTCTCATGCACTGATTCGCTATCTGAACAGCCAATCAGAGTGATTTCTTTTGCCGCCAGCCTTTCGGCCGAAAAGGTGTCGGCACGGCTGAAAAGACACGACGGTGCGGGACACACCAATCTGAGTAGGGCGTGTCGACGCTCATCGTCGGCATGACGCCCATCGACGCCCAAAATCGGCTTGGTGTGTCCGGGCCTTAACATGTCTATTTATCTGGTATGTATTATTGTATCTGCCCTAAAAAGGCAGATCATGAGAGAAAGGTAGAAGAAAGTTCAGTCTCAGGTTTTGTTTTTCATTAAGTAAACAACTTTTAGTATTAGCATTTTCTCCAGAAGGTATAATAATATCTTCAGCACAGGAAGTGATCATTTATAATGTAGTGATTTCCTGCTTTACAGGCTTGGCACTAAAACTTCAGATCCTGGGCGCACAGAGTTTGTGTTGGTGGAGAAGGACTTGTGAGCGGTATAGTGGCAACATATAAGAAACCTGGCCAATAAGAAGTAGGAGAAACACGTCAGAAACCCAACATTTTAATGCTCATGAATGACTGTTGGAGGAGCCTGTGACCTAAGATTGTCATCGTCATAACTACACTGTAGCTATGTCCGTATGACCAATAAAGGCCTTGAACCTAGAATTAAGCGACATCCGGATTGTGGCTTTAACTCAAACTGCTCAGGAACTTACGAGGGCTAACCCATACAAACGGACGGGTTTTTTTTTCTACCAAACTATCATTTCTACACATTTTACATCAATAACATAGTAGCCATAAAATATCTTTTAGCACAACAAGCTAATATAACACTCAAATGGGTTTACAAGATGATCAAACTTGATACAAATTCAATCATGAGGCAGGCAGTGATGAACTTATAAGTAACCGGTCAATACGAAAGTACACAAAACCAACACGTGTAACTTGCACATGTATAGATTAATAACTCACAATTTTGAATACTTTCAATATGGCTGCCTAAAGAAGCCTAAAGAAGGGATGGGTATTTTAGGTATTGATCATATTCTCGCATTAAATTGTTAAGAGTTCTCCGGTTAATCATCACACCAGTTGTAATGATAACCCTGTGTACCGTGTTTATGCACATCCATTTGTTATTTTGTCACATCCCCTTCTAAACATAATTTAACACGTGGTAATATTATTTGTCCTTACATAGTTAAGAACGAATTTATTCTTAATTGATTAAAATAATGCCTAGTATTCTTCAACCCTTTGGTAACATCCCCTGAAGCCAAAGAGAGACCCTTCCAGAGCAGCTTTCTGCTTCCAAACACAACGTACACCGTCTTCATTAAACTGTCTGCGCCTACAAGTGAGTCTGGAAGCCGCCCAGCTCCTTTTTATTATCCCGTCAGCGCTGAACATTACAAACAAGCTCAAAAGGCGCGTTCACACCGCAGTACTTTTCCCACTTTAGTTCTGATATAGTTCCGAAATGTTGCGTTCACACCAAAAAGAGCCGGAACTCAAATTAGTTCATGAGAACCTTTTCCGTCCCTGCTAGAGAGCAGGTACTTTCGTGGGAGAAAAAGGTTCTTATGTCTGATTGGCTGGGCGGATTGCAAACCACGCCCCGTAAAACTCCAGAAACGCAGAGAGACTAACTTATGGCAACACAAAAGAAAATATGGGAGCGGTGGAGATGAGGAGGTGTCGGCGTTCTGGCGATTTACTCGGAAGTAACTCAACTCCGGGGACTTCCGGCCGGGGACTTTGGGCGGCAGTATACGCCGTGAAGTGGTTTGCGGCCTGCCAGTAAACCCAAAGCAGAAGAAGAAGTGACGTCAGCGGCTTCATTTGCCTAATCCTCCCCCAGGGACTTATTCCGGTTTGAACGCGATCTGTACATGAGAACTAAAGAGTTCTCATGAACTAAGTTCTGATTAACCTTTGTGGGAAAAGTACTGCGGTGTGAATGCGCCTAAGGATATACCAAGGAGCTCTAAGAGTGACTTCTGTGCTTCAGAAAAACCTCAGGAATAAAGCAGACAGGAGCTCAAACTCACAAATAAAAGAAAGAGCAGCCTTCTGAAACCCAGGATGTTTTCTCCACTTCAACCTGTCCAGCTGGTGTCAACATAAAAAGCGAGGCGAACCATTTAAATTCACACGACCTGTTGAAGGCCGCTTACTCAAGATGTTGACATAAGACAGATACAATCAGTGAAAGCACAAGCCGTGAATCACAGCCAGCGCGGCCTCACCTGACCCCAGGATATTAATGTGCGCTGATTTAATGCGTCCTCCTCGGCTCTGAGCGCTGCTTCCTACTCTCCTCTGTGTTCTGGCTGCAAAGAGACGCTTTCATTCACACTGCCAGCATGTAGTTTAGACACGAGGGAGTTCCAAGTCCTCTTGTCCAAATAGTAATCAGGAAAATGAATCAGCACTATTGGATTTAGAGGGGGTTTTTACTCCTTTTGGTCTTAATACTGTACTGCAGTAACCCTTGGCTAAGAAACTCTTCTTTTGTAACTGCTTGCAAAACGTGTAGTGTAATTGCTTTCTCATTTAAAATAAGAACGACAACAATAGAATTTCATGAGACTGAAAAAATGTTATATTCTTCTGCCCTGTATTTTAACTCAAGTACTTTTATGTTCAAAGCCACAACATCTTTGATCAGTATGTGGTTCTGGAAACTTGTAGACGTTAAAACTTCTTGCATGGTTGGTTGTAAACTACTCTATCGGATGAGCTAACGCGCTAGCCCGTGAGTACCGATTCCCTAGCTTTCTTTATTCCTCATGGTAATTTGTTCCCAGAATTGTACATTGTTTTAATAAAGAAGATATAAAAAAAGAGGGATAAAGGACTAGGAGGCTTGCTAACTGGATTTTAGACTCAAAGGAGCCTGCCATCAGCTTTAAAAAAACAAAACAAAAAAAACAACAGCTGAGAGACAGTGGGGAAAAACAGCGTCTAGAATCAGCGTTTAATCAGGAAAATACTGGATATTATGTAATTTGATGGGCTGTGGTTGAACAATGTTACCAGCTTGCCAGGACCTACTTTAAATCCCTTAAAGAACGACACTATTAAGACTGCTTGCTGATTGTGAACGGTGCAAATGTGCATGTCAAAGTCAAAGAAAGTCACAACTGATGCAAATTCTGCCCATCTCTCTTTTTAAAATTAATTCATTTGAGACAGAAATTGTACTGGTTTAAAATGTATGGTGTGGTCAGGACTTCAATCGTGCTGCGGGATGAAAGACCTCCTACTGGAGCCGGAGATATGGCCGCATTTTACAATAAACCTCCGTTGGGTCCCTTAAAAACAAATATCGCAAATCGCAATATTTGTCAGAAAAATCGCAATTAGATGTTTTCCCAAAATCGCGCTGCCCTATTACAGAGCCCCTCCTCCAACACACAAGAACGCGCACATGACCAATGAGGGCACGAGATGAGTTTGTGCACAGATGGAAGGCTGACAGGCAGGTAGGCCATCCAGTTACTTTTGCCGGGCCGGCTCAGATGATTGGTCGTGCTTTTTACAGCGCCACGGCTTCCACAGATGACTTTTTTTAAAGGTATTTATTGTTAAAGCATTTAATATATTCATTGCTATCGGGGTGTTAAGAGCATTCCATGGAATATAACAAAACCTGTTTCTGAAGTGAATTACCTACCCCTCCTTTAAGTGAATTACCGACCCTACCTGTAAGTGAATTACCTACCTTTAACAGAGTAGATAATAAACCAACGGAGATTTCCTTCAGACCCAACAATGCAGCATCTATCCATTTAAACTCCCAAAAAAGAATGTCACCAACGCATAAAAGAGTGTAGAGATAAGCAAACCTTTTTACCCCTCATGATTTCTTACAGGATATAAATCATACTGAGCTGACCGGTTCAAACACTAATTTGACTTCACAGTGTTTCTGAAACTGTAATCTAGCTTTCTTTTTCAACAGCAATAATTTCTCACTTCTTACAAAATGCTCAAAGAAACTGTTTTGAGGAAGAGAAACTGAGCCTCCAGTGCTGAGGATTTAAAAAGCTTCCTTAAACTGCAGCGTGATTTGTCGGAGGGATTCTCCACAGATACTCAGTAGCTAATTTACAGAGCTGCCTACGATCATTTCCTGCCACAAGAAAAAGACTAATGCATCTTTCCGAAGTTTCAAATCACCATTTTTTTAAATTATCAAGCAGTTCTCGCCCTATGGAGGCCATATCCCTGCTGGCCAGTGGGACCATTAACAGAGCGTGGAGACAGGTTTTGAGCTAATAGGTCAAAATAAATGTCCTTTTTCCTAATGTGTGGACATTATCCACAATAAATATTGACGTAGCATTAAAATAAAACTAATGAGATGTTCTTTAAAGTCAGGTCAGAGGTCAGCTGTGCAATAAAAAAAGCTGCAGGTCAATTAGGGCTTCCCTGCAAAGTCAGCAGGAACCTGACATGCCTGGCCAGTGTGTGCAGTGTTACGCAGCAGCCATATCATATGTGATCTGTTCAGCACGAGCCAAGTTTCATTCAGCTGGCCAAGAACCATCATTCAGGGCAGGGAGGTCCTTCAGGGGTCTTTGAATGGAGCCCAGCAAGATAAGGGTTAGCTTTAAAGTCGCAACAAAAGGTTCATTATCGACTCCTATCGCCATTCTTTTCTGGATTTATCGTTAGAAATGTCAGACAAATTGGAAAGATGTCCATCCTTGTGGCTCAAAGTCCACGAGGATGTCTTTAAATGTGTGGATTTGTCAGTCAAAAAAACAAATGCCCCACAAATTAATTATCCCAAAAGTAAGAGATTATTTTCCGTCTATCAACTTTTCCTTGCCGTTCTTTTAGCTTACAGCTATGAAAGGGGGCATCTTATCATACAAACAAAACGGTCCAGCTGTTTACGTCGGCTGTGGCAGACAGGAGCGTCCTCTCACTTCTCATTCATGCTCTAAAGATTTAGATTCTGGTGTCAAGCTGGTACACTTTTACAAAAGAAAACCAAAAGAAAAAGCCTAATCAAAAGAAGAGTGAAAGCTAGACTCAGATCTCCCTCCTCTGTGATGATGTATAGCCTCAGAGTCGCTCCGCTGTTAAAACGCTCGCACGCTGGGTGTAGTTTAGTAGCAGTGTGTTGCAGGATTTGAGGCGATTGAAACTCACAAAAAACAATTACACACTTTGAAAACCCTGAACTGATTAGCAGGATGATCAGGTTCTGGAGCTTCGTATTTTCTTCGGTTACTTTCAACACTCCTGTTCGATGCTGCCAACGTGCCTGAGGCGGCCTTAATGTCAATAGTCTGTCCTAGCTTGAAGTCTTCTTACATTCTCCTGCTCAGTGTGAAGGTCTGTGGCTAAAAGCGCAGTCATGCATCGATTTTATGATCTTTGGTTGAAAAGTCAAAGATATTAGACATCGAGGAGGTTACGCGTCAAGAGTTAATACATCAGCGATTCAAGAGACTGTATTAAAATGTGAAGCAAGTCTCAACTGCACCTTGAAATGAAAGCTATTCGGCATATCAAATAATGTCTGTCCTATAAGCCTTTGGAATAAAAGGTGTATTTCCAATAGCAACGTGTCCGTAAGTGAAGAAAGACGGGTGAGAATGTGGACGTGTGTGAAAAAGTGCCAAGAGGTCTAGCATCCCTAACAAAAAGTGAAAACGTGAGAAAAGAAAGAAATATATATGTGGGTTTTTTTTTCACCGAACGGTTCAATAGCCTGGATAAAAACTCTTCAAATTACACCTCATGCCTCATTGAGTCCGAGATCTGTGGTTATGCAAATGTTTTTCATTTCAAAACTTTAACGCCCAGGGTGGTTTTTCTCTGTTTGTGCATTGGAGGCTTTTCTCATCACATCACAAAAATCCTGCTCTTGTTCGAACTCACTACCATGAGCACAGAGAAATGCCTTCTCCAGCAGATCAATGTGACAACTGTGTCAAAGTAAAGGGACTCAAATACACATAAATTACTCAATGAGAGATTTTACAGTGTAGCCACAATGTTTATACATAGACACCCCCCATTAAGCCAGGTTTAAACGAGAGGCCCCTTCATCTTTTGACCTTCTATCACCGCAGCCAGAATATTTCCAATAGAAATGTGTGTTTTAGCAGAAAAACGTCAGTATCTATGAAGAAAGACAAGTCAGAGGAGAATGGGGACATGTGAGAAAAAGTGCCAGTGGATCCAGGATCCCTAACAAAATGTCAAAACGTAAGAAAAGAAAGAAAAATGTATTTTGATTGTGGGTTTTTTTCACAAAACGGTTCAATAGACTATCCTGCTCTTATTCAAACTCACCAACACGAGCACAGAGACAAGTTTCCTTAGTTACAGCCTTTCAGTGTCAAGTAAAGGGACTCAGTTACACATAAAGGACTTAATAAGAGATTGTTTAAGTGTTGCCACCCCCCCATTAAGTCCGGTTTAAACCTCAGACACCTTCATCTTTTGACCTGCTAATCACCCAGCCATGCTTCCCGGGTTGCCTAAACCCTGGTTCTGTGATTAGATAATTCAGATGCATATTCTACCCCCCAAAAAACTGCATGGGTTTAAGCCAGGGTTAAACCAGGTTTCAACCTAAAACACCTCCATCTTCTGACCTGCTAATCACACCAGCCATGTGTTGCAAAAGTTGAGGTAACCCCAGAATTTAAACCCTGGTGCTGGTGACGATAAAGTATCTAATAAGTAACATGTGGAGACATAAGCTAATTCAGATGCATCTTCTACCCCCACAAAAGATGTAGGGGTCCTAGGTTTAAACCTGGCTTAAACCTAGGACCCCTACATCTTTTGACCTGATAATCACCCCAGCCATGCTTCCAGTGTTGCAAAAGTTGAGGAAACCCCTGAATCTGAACCCTGGTTCTGTCCTGATAAGATCATTCAGATGCATCTTCTCTAACCCACCCCCCCAAATAACTGCACAGACTTGTTGGCTGCTCTATGCATGTCTTCCCCCCCACAATGTCACACAGGCTCCTCGCTGCAGCAGCAGTCTGGTGAGGGGCGACATCCACCCTGAAGAAGAAAAAAATGCACCAACTTTCTGTTGTCTTGATTTAATCTCAACCTCATGAAGATGTTGCACACACACACACACACACTGAACTTTGGACGGCAACAGGAAGAGCCTTAATGGTGGACCATGGGGAAGAATTGGTGAGAGAAACAATGTTACATTTAAACATGCCGAGACAGGCAGGGAGAGAGGCGGGGATTGAGCCTCTTCCCCGGGCCGGATAACCGTGTGCACCCCGGCTCTCCTAGCGTTAAACCCGGCTTCACATGCACGGTTTCCCCCTCTTGAAACAGCCCCATCCCCTATGTGCAACTGCAGGGCCCGGCGCCGCCATACACCAGCCCATAGACACATAAAACAAC